CGCTGACAGGCGGCCCCGCGCATGCACCACAGTGGAGCACGCGCACTGCGCCCCGCCTCAGCCCCCAGAGCATCGCGGAATAAATCCGGTAGGAGTAGAGCTCCAAGATCATCGAATACAGCCTGTGTCCCAACGCCACTGTGTCAACCTGGCCGTGGCACTCAGTGTCTCTCCTTAAACACAGCCAGGGACGGTGATTCCTGGTTCATTCGATGTATAATCGCCCTTCCTGATAAGATTTTTTTTCCTGATGTACAACATAAACCTCCCCTGGTGCAGCTTGTCCTGCCTGGGAGAAAGAAGCCAAGCCACACCTGGCTGCAGCCTCCTTTCATGGAGTTGTACAAAGCAATAAGGTCCTGCCTGAGCCTCTTTCTTTTCCAGCCTGAGTCCTCTGTGTTCCCTCAGCCATTTTTCATAGGATTTGTGCTCCAGGCCCTTCATCATCTTCGTTGGCGTTCTCTGGAGCTGCTGCAGTTCCTCAATGCCCTTCCTGAATTGAGGGGCCCAGAACTGGCCCAGCCCGATGTCTGCTACCTTTCTCATGCCCTGCCTCAGCCCGTCTTGGGCCTTCCCTTTTCAAGGGCTGTCAAAGTAATGTCTGTGAGGTGAGTGCTGTGTATAAGAAGAGATTACTTACACCCTTATCTCACAGACAGAATGCACTGACTCCCTTTCTAGTTGCCATCCAGCTTGTTCTCCACAGAGCTGATCATGATAGGCCTTGTTTGCCACCTCATTTCTTTGCCCTCCTTTTGTCTCCTCAGTGCTGCCCGCTTGTTCGGTGCTTATTAAACATGATTGCAAATGTTGGGCTTCCCCACTCCTGTGCCCTGGCCAGTGCTTCCTTCTGCTCCTTGTCACCAGTAGTCATGGTTGAATCAGCTGTGGCTGCTGGTTAAAAAAAACATGTGGGGAGCCACAGGATTGGCTTGAGAAGCTGCTGATACAAGTAATTAAGGCACAGATATTCATTCAACCTTCAGTAAAACTGTTGTAGTATACATATATTGGCCTATTCTTAAATGCTTACTCAGCATCATTTAAGAAAAGTTTTGGTCCCCCCACCCTCTTCAATTGTGCCGTGAATTGTGCAGTATACTTTTATAAAAACTTTCCAGTTCTGTCAGCATTGTGGACTACAAGATAAAATTTTGTATGTACATGGTTTTATTCTTGAAAGTCACACGTGCTGAATACACAGACTTTGAGACCACAGACATACAAGAGCTGGGATCTCAAATGCTCAATGCTAGTCAGAGACACAGTTAAATTCACAGAAAACCCAGAGAAGGTGGTTTACAGCACAACTACAATCTGTCCTGCCTTGTATTCTGAAGGCCTCAGGAGGGGCAGTGTAAGAAAACCTTTGTGATGGTGTCCTGGCTAATAACATTCCTAACTGAACAAGGCTGTACACAAAATGTTTCAGTAAGCCATATGAATAAAAGCAGGCAGTGTTAAGAGAACCAGTTCATAATAATTCTAAATGCTGTTTAGGAGCTCACAAGAATTTCATAGAGCTGCACAGTGTGAAAACCAACAAGTCTTCTCTTTCAGCCTAATTATATGCAAAAGGGCCTGTAATATACTTCCTTTCAATTCATGACCAAATTTTCTCATTTCAGTGTTTATTTTCTATTCATCTACTCCTGGATATCTACTTAATCTTTCTTTCCATAGCACGGTTCTGTACACATATGCAAAATGTTTATATGTAATATGCTTATATGGAATATGTACCAGGTATTTGGTGCAGGACATACTAATGTCTGTCCAGAGAATGCACAGACAAAAGATTCTAAGGAGCTTTCATTCCAAGAAGGCAAATGTATCTTCAAGCCAATGTCTTATAAACATATTCTCTTGTTTTATTTCTTTCCAACAAAGGTTCGCATAAACATGAGTGCCCTCAAGTACATACTTGATTAAACAAAAAACATACTCTGTTTAAAATGGCAGATTTGTTTCAGTTTCAAACTGTAAGTGGTAGACCCTCTGCTTGGTTTTAGAAAGTTGTGTTTAGGAAAGAAAAGTATGGAAAATTGTATATTTGCAATGAGATCTGTGGTTTATATTCATATAGAGTGGTTCCTTCTAACAGTCTTAGAGTAACATCTGGAAAATCTGGTTTCTTATCAGAAAGAAAACATCTGCAAATCTAATCTTACATAACAAAGTAACTAAAGATGGTATCTAATATAAAAACTCTGCTGTTGTTGCTTGATGAGCACATTTCAGTAAATTTAAGCTTCTTTTAAGTTTTTACTGTATTTTATTGGTGTAATACTGATTATTTTACTTTAAGACACTGATACTCCAGTTATTTTTAGTATAGTGAAATGAAGCCCCCAAAAAACTTATATATTCTATCGAAAGACCATAGGATTGGCTTTTTTGGAACAAATTGTGCAATCACATATATATTATTAAAATATTTTCTTAGAAAACTTCGCTGAGTGACATTGCTCTCATTTCAAATGCATACTTTTTAGTTGCCATGCTTCTGATTAATTTACTGACTGCAAAATTTACAAAGTGGCAAAAAATATTCCACCATGAATCTAGTTTAAATTAACAAAAAGTTGAAAGTAATGTTTTAAACAGTTTTCTCACCATTCACTAGATGGCAGCTGATCTTCAAGAATGGCTGTATTTCTCCTTTCAGATCTGATAATTTGGAGGGAGTAGTCATCATTTCTTGAAGAAATCAAATATTGCTGTTTTTGTTCCCAAGTCCTCTCAGGACTCAGAGTGTGCTGATGGGCCTTAGTTACCCTGGCCCCATTTACTGGGGCTCCCCACCCACACCTCTGCCCATGAGCCCCAAGCTATATTTAAGCTCAGGCCTGGGCCTTTGCTCCAGGATGGCCTGAGCTGTAGTTTTGTGTCTTCACATCTCTGGAATTCCTGATTTGTTTATGGACCTGCTCTTGTTGGTACAGGTTTGTTTGATGGCCTGGGCTCTTGGGCATTGTTCCTATGCCTGTATTGCTTGGGCTTAGGTTTCTTAGGCTGTGTCTTGCAATCCTTCTTATCAAATTTGATTGCTGGTTTCTGATCTCTTCCAGAGCTGCTGCTCCTTGATGTTGTTCACCAGATCTGTTTTGTATATATTATTATATTTATTATCTGAGTAATTCTGATTAAATTGGCAAAATCTGACTTCACCTTAGCACCAGTAATTTCATACATATATACTCCATGCAGTAGTAAGTCTTGAATTCTGTTAGTTATACTATTGTGTTCTCAACTGATTGCAATGTATTTGTTTTTTCTGCTATAAAAATTGTCTTTCAGGCATCAAATGTGCATCAGTATTTGTAGAAGTCATCTGTGCTCTTTGAGAGGATGCTCTCAAAGCATCTTTGCTTTGAGAGGAGCAAATAACAAGGTAGAAAGGAACTAAGTAAAAAAAAAAAAAAAAAGGTAAGGGACCTTGGAATAGGTTCCATGAGGATAGTATAAAGTTGGAAAGACATTATGAAGGGAAAAGCAGGCATTCTTAGAACAGAAACCTGCAATTTCTCTGTCCTTACAGTGATGCATGTATTCCTTATGGAAATATGAAATGATTCTACAGATATTTTTGAGTTGTTATGTATCAGAATAACTGTTTTATCCATATTTATGCACATCTCTTATGCATTAGCTGGAGAGGTATTTTTGAAACTTTGGAGAGACAGTCGATCAAATTATTGGTAAGAGGAATTGTCTTTGAGGAGTATAATAATTTTATTCTCTGCCTTTGGGAGGGGTCCTATGCCTTCAGCATTCCTCTTTCCTAAAACAAATATCTTGGAACATAGTCATGCCCAAATATTAACATGTCTTCCCTTGTAATCATCCCTTAATTAAATTAAGTATTCTAAACTTGTATGAATTTTCACTTCAGTGTCTGTGTTTTTGCATTTCTGTTTTCAAGCTGCCTTGTCTTGTCTATTAAGGTTTCAAAATAATTAAGGCTACTGGAATGAGTTGCCCTTTGTACTTCCCACTCCAGTTGTTGATGATTTATTTACTGATGTGAGACTGTTATGACTTAACAAAGGGAATAGGAATGAGTCTATGTTGTCAGAAGAGTTCCATACCTCAGAAGACATTGCAATGCAAAATATTTCACAGAATGAGATTTTCTCTTGTAACATACTGACTTTCAGATGCCAGTGGTTAAGTAATGTCACCCAAATGCTGTCATGAACAAAAATGGAAGAAAACCATAGCAAGAATTTTCAGTGATCGACTTCCTTAGCTTCTGACTGTAGAAGTTGTAGGATGCTTATTTTTTTTTCCTAACAAGAAGAGATTGAAGATTCACACAGAAATAAAGACTAGAGTCATATTTCTAGATTCCTAGGTGTGATATAAAATTCTGTAGACTGAGCCTGAATGGAAAAGGGTTCTATTATTGCTTATGCTGCTCCATCTTTAATGTCTTTTTCCCCATTTATTCTCTTCTGAAGGGTATCAAGAAGGGTTATTTCAAACGGTACCCAGTTCCTCAGTACTTGGGTTATGTTGCTTAAAATTAATTCCCTGTTACCTTAGCTCATGTTGTGGAAATTCAATTAAATTTCTTAGCTATCAAGAAATGGAAACAAATGTTTAGGTTTGTAAATTAGTAAATTATTCAGTGGATATAGAAAATATATTTAAGGTATTGGGACTAACATGAATTCCGTGTATTTTTCTGGCCTTCAAAAGGGCAAAGCTGAACCTGGAGAACAATTGAGCTACTGCTTGCATGAAAAACTTGGAGGGATTGATGATTGTAAGGCATGAAGTTTGCAATTACTTTGAATTTACATCAGTGTTCAGGTGTTACTAGGGGCCACCCCTGTTCTTTTGTAAGAACTGTAGCAATGTGTTACTTTGAAAAATTGCAGTGAGGATTTATTTTTCCTAATAAGGGAGTATTCTTTTCCTTTAATTTTTCCTGATGGAAAAATTACAAACTCATCCTGTTTATAATGAGATCAACTTAGTGCTGTGATGCAGATGTCGTAATTAGACTTTGATCTTAGCTCAAGTAGCTTTTTTCATTCAAGTAACTAAGCAACGTTCTACTGATGGTGTCTGTTTGGGGATCTTGCCTTGTGCTTTAGGGAGCTGGCTGGCTAAAACAGTGCAAAAGATGATTTGATTCAGATACATACATGTTCTAACTCTATTCAGGTAGGCATGGACTTAGAACTGAAAAAGGGGAAGGCTAAAAGTATTTGCAATAGAAATACCTTATTCTGCAAAGGTTTAAACCTTTTTAACTGTGCAATAAATGGTCCCATTGAAGTTTCAAGTCAGAAGCTTAAGAGTGCTCTTCCAAGTTCATGTTACATGGATCATTGGCAGAGAAAACTTGTACTGCTTGTGCAAACAGAAATAGAGGCTGACCTTGTATTTCAACCAACAACGTGACCATAGGCATGGTTTTGATGGGGCAGCTTGAAAAGCACCATGAACATCAGTAGCCTGAAGGAAATGTTGTTATTCCAGAATCTTTTCCCAAAGGAGCTTCTTGTCAAGTATGACTTCACTGTAATTGAAAATGATGATTAAAATTTGTGGAAGATTAAAGTGAATAACTAAAAAATAATGAAGCCACTTGTCAAATTGAATCTTGCTAATGGTAAACAGCTGTTTGTTATTGTGGTGAATGTAGGTCTCTGAAGCAATATCAGTGAAATAATTAACCTGTTGAATTTGGTGGAGTTGCAGCCAGTCACAACAGATTGAATTATGAATTCAAACGTTCTTGTTGTATTTGATCATTAGCAGAGTATGAATATTTTCCTTTCTAAAATGCAGTTGGATAAAATGAGTTTTTTTTTTCATAAAGGCGTAGCCTGAAAAGCAGGACTATTGAAATTAAAAATAGATCAATGAAACCATCTTTGCTATCTTTATTCAATAAGATGGATTCTTTAGTTAGGAAATTCTTGTTGGTCCGCAATTTGAAGAGAGACACTACAATATCTCAATTATTCTCTAAAGAATCTTTTAACTTTTTTCCCATTTTGGGAAATCTACAAAAACGGAACTTCTGAAATAAACTAGAAATTAAACTTACGTTTCACATGAATCACATTTTAGAGACCAGAGCAGTCATCTGATGAAGCAAGATGGCATAATAACTTATAGCTGAGTACACTGTTAGTAATTTCTAGTGCAAATGTCCAGGAAGTATCCTTAAAGCATATTAAGTCATGTGAATTGTGACTAGGGAGTTAAACCCATGGGATATGTGATTGTTCTCTCCCATAAATCTACAGGACTGAAAATGACTACTGATTAAATATATCTAAAGATGAATCCTTTCTGAAGGATTTCATTCCCAGTTCTTTGCCTCTGAATGGTCTGTGTAGATCTGCTTCTTAAACAAATGCTTTCATAAAACTAAAGATTCTATTTTGGTTTTTCCAATCTGTTATGAAATTAAACATCTCAGTAGAAACACTTTTCCTGAAGTCATGCAGTATGTTTTACCCACAGTGCTTTGATTGTTAGCTTTTTTTGACTTTATTTTCCTGGCCATTTTCAAAGTTGTTAGAGGTTGGGCTATTTTTAAGATCTTCATTTTCACTTAAGAAAGCTAGAAATCATGCTGGGTCTCTTCAAAGCTCTAAATTTACTTCACTGAAGCCCAAAGCTACATTAGCCATAGTTGTTTCCTATGAGTTTAATGAAAAGAAGAGGCTCAGTAATAGATTGCTTGTAGATTGGAACCAGCCATTGCTGAATTACCTTTACCACTCTTGCTAGCAAGAGGTTGAGAGCTAAAGTCTAAATTTGTACAATTCTGTTTGCTTCATTGCATGTAGAAAACTTTTTTCTTAGAAGTAGCTCAATAGGGGATCAGTTATCTCCCAGGAAATTGGTGGCATTGTTCAAATTAAGTATTGTGGGAGTTGGATGGGGACATCCATTTAGGAAAAGCTGTACTTTGCACAGAACAGAATATAACTGTTCAAAGAATATTTGTGTGAAGCTTGTGGAGTTCTTCTATGGAAGAATCTGTGTAAAAATTACTATATGCATTTTCTCCTCATATAAGTCTCTGCTGATCAAATTATTTTTCACTTTATGAATGCATTTTTAATTATTTGCCTTGCTAAAGGCTCTGTTCTAGTCTGAGATTTGAAAGCTAAAATGCTTCCAGCTTGTGAAGTCACTAGTAATCACAATTTTCCTTTTCAAATTCTGTGTGTTCTCTTCCTTTTCTTTTTTTTTGTTATCTGAAATATTTCCTTTTCCTTTACAAAAGGAAATAATTTTGAAAGGGGTGCAAACAGGGGGATTGCAGTGATTAAAGTATTTTCATGTACTTGTTTTTAAAGAGGCTCTGAGGACCTGCTCAATCATGTGACATCTCTCCACTAGAATGACACTGAATATAGGAGGAGGGGTAAGTAACTTGTTGGTACAAAGCAATTGCAAGACCGCCTACCTGGATAGATGCCTATGTTTTTGTTAAACCCAGGCTTGACAAAGTGAGTGGACTAATAGTCTCTCAGCTTTAGATTCCTGTTGAATACCTGGAAAGGCACTTTAAAAAAAGAATGAAATTACAGTAGTCTGAAATTACAGAGGATAATGCATAGTAGAATCACAAGATAAATCAAATGTATATCCTAAAAGGAAATAGAGATCACAAGACATGTGAAAATAAAACTTTAAAATTGGAATTTATAGCTGTTGTAGTAGTTAAACTAAAGTTATCTTGTAAAAAAGTTGTAATGAATTTAAATGATTCTTAAGGTTGCCGTTTTATGGGCAAGGAAACCTGTGCAGTTTATGCTGTACTTGGAAATTCTTTCAACATATGTGCCTTCTCTGTACCTGCCTTGCAGTGACATCTGCTGGGAAAAGCAGGAAGCCTTTATTGTAATTACAACAATTTGGAAGAAAGTTAATCTGAAATAAAATAATTTTTTTTCAAGCATGTGTATATTCCCCTATGCAAGAATCTGATATCATGAAGAGATGTAAGTAATATGGAGCATTCCAATACTAAATTTTAAATGAAATTGAAATCAGTTACAATGGCAGTTTTTTGTTTCTTATCTACAGCCATATGTATTTGTTGACATATTAAGGAATAATTATAAAATAACCATAAATCTAATCTTATATCTTAAAATATTTTAATTGCCATACTGATGTATGTCTCAAAGAAATGCTACCCCCCCCAAAATTTACAGTTGATATAACCCCATTTTTTTCTAAAATATATTTTGATATTTTTTAATGAACACCTTTTGATCTGTTTCATATCTGTGTAGCTTAACACATTGCTTTAAACAAAAATCTTCTGTGTTCAGGGATAAGTGGGCATTCAAAGATCATTAATAGATGACTGAATAGACATTAAATCTTTCTGGTATGTGGTGGTACTTGTGCAAAGCTAACACCAAAAAGATTTGAGAAGTAGAGAGAAATCTAAGTGATGTAGAGGAGAAACTGCCTCTTTTCCTTTTTTTTTTTTTTTATTTTTAGGAGAATTTCAGAAGTGAAAAATGCCATGTTTGGTAGTCAGGCAGTGTGTTGAGATGGAGACAAGAATTTGAATGGTCTCTGTCCTCAAGTAATCTGGTGAAATTACAGTATTTTAAATAGTGGAAATGGGTACCTTAAAGGGGGAAATGCTGCAGAAGATGATAGTTATGAATGCTATGAGGTAACATTATGAAAATACATTGAAAGTATTTTTTCTTTGCTTTTATCTGCTGATGTTGGAGCTTTGCAGATATGCTACTCATCTCTTTCACTGGATAGAAAAATAACCATGAATGATACCCCAGAACTGCAGGTTTGGATTATTCAGCAGCTCAGGGCCGACATGTGTTTGTTGCGTGATTTAGCCCCATTAGAGCTTCACTTGAACTGCCTGAAGGTTACATGTGGCTCAAGAACCACAAATTGGCCATGTCTACATTATGTGATCATAATGGAGCTTTCTGGACTTTATATAAACAGATAATTCTAACTTGCTCCAATTTTTAAAAATGCTTCAGATTTTTAACAACTGAGATTGATTTTCCCCATGTTTTCTCTTGAATGCCTCTGAAAACCAATAAAATACATAACAAAAGCCAGCAAGATGTAAGAAAAATCAAACACTTAAGATATTAGGGGGAAGAAAAAAGTCTTCTGTGCATTCTTCCCTGTTCATAGAGGATTTGTGGTTTCTCTTCAGTGTGGACAAATCTATCCTGCCCATGGTGAGAAACAAAGTAATTGCTCTTGGCAGAAAAACAGGTAGCTAGGAGTTGGGGTCTCAAAGGTATAGTGTGAACAAACACAAATGAGTTTCAATCTTTGACAAAATATGTAAAACTATCAAGTTTACTGTGTCAGGATAGAGCCCTGTAGAGTGCATGAGAATGAAAGCCAGAAACAGTTTTCTGTGCTGCTACACGCAGGCAGTGTAGAGGCACATGAATTTCATGAGAAGCTACCTAGTCTCCAAAGCCACAATTTCTTTTAGAAAGTTTATTGTCTGGTTTAAGAATTCAGCTCCCATAGCTACATTAACAGAGCTTTACACTAACTGTGCCTGCTAAATAGAATTATGTTGGCTTAGAACATTTAATTTGACAGGAAACTCAAACAAGCTCCCTTTGTTACAGCTGCAGTTGCTGTGGGATGAGCTATTAGTGTACTTATCTTGCATTATGTAGCTCACCGTCATAGAATTTAATGTATCTAGCATGATTATTTCAGTGCAAAACTTAAATATTGAATTGAATTTATAATGTAGACTTCTGTTATGACCTTTCAATGTACATGCTGGGGTGCCCTGGATAGGTGAAAGCAGCGGCATTTTTTCTTGTGCAGGAGGCAGGAAAAGTACACACATGGAAATACTGAAGTTGGTTCTGTCTCTGTGTATGAAGATGCTGTGTAAGTGTTGCAAAGCACCACAGATGACAATCCCACCACAGAGCATCCTTCTGAATGCTGTGTCCTGAAAGAAGCACTGCAGCTGGCAAACTTCCAGGTCAAGGCTTTGTCTAAAGTTACAGTAAAATGTTATCCCCTGAGAGCTGTAAAGAAACACTATGGTAGGTATAAAAACTATTTTTCTGATACATCACATTTAAAGTATTTTTGGGGAATTTGAGATATTGGTTTTGAGAGAGACATTTAATTGGAAAAAACTCAACAAATGAGAGGAAGCAATTTTCTTTGTATTTTTTTTTTAGGGAAGATAACTGATTTGAAATGCTGTGTTGCTTTCTGTTTTGTTAATGTGTAATAGTAACGTAGAGAGAATGACAGTAATAGATTACTTTGGGAGCAAAAACTTGTTTTAGCAAACGGTTTCTCAAAAAAAAGTTATTTTATGTGTGCCAGCTTCAAAGAAAGTAATAAAAATGTAATAGTTATTGGATGTTGGGCTGAGAATTATTATTTTTAAATAAAAAGTATCGACAACATGCATGTTAGAAATGGAAAAAGCCTACTGTAGCCAAAGAGTTCAAAGAATGTTGGACAAGGTTCTTCAAACTTAGAAGGAACAGTATATTTGTTCAAAAATAGGCTTATAGCCTGAATAATTACAGGATTTAGCCCTTTAACCTGTAACTGGGGTGCATGATGAGTGGAAAACTGCTTCTGAGAAATGTCAAGAGTTTTTTTTAAATAACAGTGGTAAACTAGTTTGGAAAATATGTGGTATTTGGTCAGTTTTTCATAGCAAACTTAAGTTGCGTCCCAAACACTTGGCTGTAGGCTAATTAAATGAGAGGTGGTTTTTGATGATCTAGAAAATACTAAGTAATTTTATAGAATACTTAATGTGCTTAGGTTTGCATTCAGAATGAACTCTTTTTCATCTTGTAGGATGGGATTTTGTGTCTTTAATGGAAGTGTTGCATATTTCCGAAATATTTTTCTTACACTAGTGTTCACTTATCTTCATGATTAGTGTTGCAATTTTGCCATAAATTGATAACCAGGTGAACAGCTAAAAATCGAAAGTGTTCATTGGTGACAATATTATAGCTAATGACTTAATTTTAAACTATAAGTTTATTTTACTAAGTCTAATAACTGTTTATTTGCATTTTATACTGTTGAGTTATACATTTGAAATTTCAAGAAGTGTTTTCTCAGTTTTAATTATGAACAAGTTTATAAAACAATTGTGCAGAGAACTAACTTTAGGTGATTAAAATGCAAGATCTTTTAGTTTATTCAGTTGTCTCTGTGACACTACCACTCCTGAACAGACTGCTTAAGGCTCCTCTCATTATCATTGTGTATTGATTTGGTCTTGTGAAGGTACTGTATTTTTCTGTGTTGTGTATAACCCTACCTTATTCTCTTCCAAAAGATAAAACCATCCAGATTTTTTTTTCAATACATACAGCAATGTAGCTTGGCTTTCCATGTTTAATTCTCCTTTTATATAAATTTATAAGGCAGTTAATGAATTCCTTCAAAAATGAGTCACAAATACAGTTGTGTGTGGTACAATGCCCACCTTAGCAAGTGCAATGCAATGGTAAAAAAAAAATGAGATTGCAGGTTGGGAGATAATTCACATCTTGCTGCTCTTGTGACAGTCCTCACCTAGCCAAACATTTCATATGTGCATCTGAGAATTTTTTTTTTTAACTGAACTTGGGTATTTCAGTGTGCTTTAAACAGGGGGAATGTCTAAAAGCTGCACAGCAAACTTCTTGAGAGAGGTATCACCCGTCCTTTTTCAGCTGTCCTTGATTTTTAGTGGCTCACATGTGTAATAGTGAATCATGTTTGTGTGGGTTTTATATACAAACTTTTTTCAACAGAGGAGGTTAACACTAAGAACATTACAGTCCATGGTATTAAATATGTAGTCATTGAAGTCTTTATTCCTTAAGCCAGGTATAAAAATAAAACAACATACCCCATCTTAAGTGATGTTTAAGAAGCTTGAGTTTAAACAGAAGCCAAAATTACTGCTTTTGTCTTGCAGTGATTTATGTGAAACAATGTATTCACAAAGAATTCACAGAAGTCTTAAATATATATTAGTGAGTAGAATTTGAAGCTGATTTTTTAGATGGCTCAGTTTCAGAAATAGACTAAAATTTGGCCTCTTAGTCACTTGATAGTAACTGTTGTAAGGCCAAAGCAGATGGACTGCTTGATGCGCAGCAATTTTTCTTGTTTCTCTGATGTCTTGCCCTTAATCTTTCACCACTTGTACACCACATGCAGCAGACAAAGCATCCATCAATGCAGTTAGTCATAACCAGATAAGTGAGATCAAAATTCCTGACTTCAGCTCTACTTTATTTGCAAAATTTTTGCTTATAAACAGATGTTGGTGGTTATTGTTCAAATCTTCTCTTAAAACAGTTTGCCCAGCATACTGTATTAAAATCATGCTGCAGTTTGTTATTGACACATGCAAGTCACACACTGAGCAATAATGAAAAGCAGTCCAATCAGTTTTGAATTTTGCATGCTGTCATAATTGCAATTATATTCTTTGCATCATACAAGTGAAATTGGAAAATAGGGTCCTTACTGGGATTAATATTATGGACAGTTTCTATTCCTGTGCTTTTTTTCTTTTTGAATGTTTCTCAAACATCTCCTCTAATGGGTTTGACAGAAATAGCAACACATTCACTTTTTCATTAGCAACAGATTCTCTTATTAAATAGTTTGAAAATTGAATAATACAGCTCTTAGATCCACTGTCCTTATGTAGCAAATGATGTGGGTAGTTCTCAGTCTTCAAAAGCAGTTTTATATGCAAATATATTTGAACATCTGTCCACATGCATTTGTGGTGTAAGTGCATCTGCCCAGTCAAGACGAATTTTTTCTTTCTAACTCTCCTCTTAGTGCACAAAGATAATGATCATTTCTCATTTTATTAATTTTAACTCTTCTCATCACTTTGGTATCCATCTCAGTATTATGACAGATGTGTGACAATCTGAGACTGGCTCCCTTTCTGGTGAGTCTTTCTCCTCCAGGAGATCTGTGTGAAAGCTGAACTGATGCTTGGCTGTTACAATGAGTAGAGATTTCTCTTTGTGCTGTCCTGGCCCTCTGTGTTCTTCCATGGGGTTTGAATAACTTTATGCATAGCAATGTAATTTTAGTACCTTACTGGTGAAGGAGTCTCTAGGATTCAGGAAGAACCAAAGTAGAATTACTAATGTCTTAAAATATTTTGTGTGATGCCAACAAGGTGATTGATCATGGTCTTACTGAAATAGTGCTTCAATTTGCACTATTAAAGTTAAAAATATTTTTTTTTTCTTTATAGAATGGGAATGGATTTAAGATTATGATTTCTGATGTTCAGTATTACTGGTTTTAGGTCATCTTTAGTTTTTAATCAAAGTATCTTAGACATTTTAATTTTACAATGATCTAGGAACAGTTCCAGAACAAAATACTTTTTTTGGAGAGCCAAGATCCTTTGTTCAGTTCACTTGGACATTAGATTTCACGAGACTGTCTTTCTGCTGCAGTACTGTATGTACTGCATACTGTGCAATACTGTTTCATTCAATGATTGCACCAATAGCTGTAATAAGACTGAGCTCCTCTGTAATCAGAAAGCAATCAAGTATTGCATCACTGGCAATACCAAAGATTATGCATTCTTTGCATCTAAAGAAGAGCCTGCTGGAGGTCATGGACATTTTTATAAGGCATCATAATGTAAGAGATGCACAGAATCAGTTTTATATTTGGAAAAGTGGTTCAGGAGTTTCTGTTCACATGGAGGACTTGATATCACCTAAAATAATTTTGACTACATGGGATTTACTTCTTGCCTATCTAGTGGTGTACATCCACTTAATTATAAAAATTAAACTCATTAGTTTAAAAATTAAACTTGGTAGTCTCACTACAAGATCTTGTAATCACGTGCTTCACTTGAGAGTCTCTCAGAATCTTCCTCAGATCTTTTTGTTTCCAAAATTTTCTTTGGAGAGTGACCTGAGGTAGTGCCTGGTTCACTTCACCCTAATATGCTCAACATGGGGAAAGAATTCAAGTACTCAAGTAACCAGGCAAAGCTTCCTTTGGACTTGCCTAAAAATCCTTATTCCTCATACTGAGGGCATATGTTGAATGAAGGGTTATTCATATAGTTTCCTCAAATGTTTTTGTTTTGTTTTGTTTTAAACAAATTGAACTACAAAAGAGAATTTAAATACCTTTAAGACTTTTTTTTTGTGGTTTTCTCTCAATTCAGAACCCTATAATATTAAATAATATATTACAATTTTTGAATAAATTTTCTAGCATTAAACTTAATTTTTGTTCTTGAAGGGATAGGTTCTTTTACAACCACAGCATATCTGAAATATTACCACCTTTGATCATTTTGTATATGAGTTAAAAGTTTTTCTCCAAAAGGTAATATTGACAGTTTTGAATATATTCCTGTAATCATCTCCCCTATCTCTTCTGATAGGCTATTCATAATTTTATTTTAGAGTTATTTTGTCTTAAAACACAAATATTCAAAACTTAAAGCTCACTCTTCTGCCTCTTAAAGTGTGCTCAAAAAAAGCCGAAGTACTGTCCTCTTGAAGTACTGTCTCTGTCTCAAAGCCAGAAATTTGTACAGTGCCCATTAAAGGGCACCTTGCTACAAAGGGAAATGAGGAAAGGTGAGAGGATTCAGTCTGTACTTGGATACTGAAGTGGTAAAACTAATTGTGTTTGAAACGGAAGCATTTTGTAATTGCTGTAGATTTTTTCATGTCTCAAACATGACTGGGTGCAGACCTCTAGAGTGCTGGACTCTTTGGAACTTGGTGTGCCCAGAATAGCAGATACCAATACTTTTCTGACTTGTCCTGTTTCATTCATGTTTTAAAAGGTCCAAGTTGTTCAGCTGCCTTTAAGTATTCCCATTCTGTAAAAACTTTCAATTCCTTGCTCTTGTGTTAGTAGGACCAGGATGCCTGGTAACATCAGTGCTGTTTTGTCTGGTATTTACATAGCAAAGCATTTAGCTTGACCAAAGTTTGGTTGGGTTTGCATAGGTCAGTTCATTGCCTTTTTTCTTCTCTGTGACAGAGGGACGACTGAT